TCAATTTGATGTTCAGCAATAGGACGCACACTTACTATTATCAAAAGTACTTTGAATAGACATTTGTTAGTGTTAGCAGATTATGCAAATCGTTATAATTTTATTGGATGTCATAGATATCATTCGATCGGTTTAGTCAATCTAAACAGTATAACGGTATGTGAAGCAATTGAGTTAAATTATATCTCACTAGCACACATATCTATTGAAAGGTGCTTTGATACATTCTTATTGCTAAGCGAAAATTTTTTTCATCACAGTAACACTTTATTTTTTATTGTTAATAATAATAGATGATAAATTATTTTGATTGTCAATGATTAATACAAGTCCCATTGTTAGTAGGACAGGTTACGTTACAAAGGCTATTCGTTCTTTTACAGGGACATCTTCTGGTAGAACAATTCGATCTACAATTACAATTATCACTACGAGCACTTTCATTACCTATACTCTGTAACCTAACTGCTGCTCTTAATGAAATAACTGTTGGCGGAATGTCTGCCAGTTCATTAAATTCTGCTTGAATGCCCTCTAAGTCAGCTGCCTGATAATGGGTATCAAGTATACCGACACTACAACCCAATTTGTACCAACCTCCGTCTAAGACTTCCATCACCTTACATGGTAATAACCTTCTTCCTAATCTTTGTCTGTCGGGGCCTGGTATATCAAGCCCGACTATGTCACCAACACAATATTCACGTATTACCCTTCTCGTCATGACATCCCTTATTAATTGAATGTTTCGTTGCACATGTTGCCTAGCAAGTTGACGGATAGTTTCGTGGCGACTTTCACTTTCCGTACCTTCATTCACTTCACTGCTTGTGGCTGTCTCTCTGACTGGTTGTACATCTTCATCTATTGCCATAGCAGATTCTGCGTAATATTTACGTTTATCAATTTGATTAATTAACGGAACTCGGTATCTAAATTGCAATTGAGAATGAAGTATACTCACCGGCTTGATTGCGCTCATCATATTGCCGGATTCGCTCGGGCCACATTTCAAAGATCTCAGACAGGCCATCATTTTCCTCTACTATCCTATCTCTAGTCTCTCCATCATTCCATTTCCTTAAGTTCTCCAGGCAAAGTGTAACAAAATTTCTATTTCTCTCATTAAACTCTCCGTGTAATGTGTATCTCAGCCAGGTGTCTATACGATATACATATGGTGCACGATTTCTGCTTGGCGGAAATATACGGAATGGTCTATACATACATATATCTTGGATAAAGAATCCAGTTTCATATTGTTCAATGAGATTGATATCATCTTCCGAAGATGAGTCATTGTGCACGACCTGTGGATTGGTTTGCTCATTATTTTCACCAATCTTTTCACCAATGTTTTCGAATCCTTGATTTTCATAGTTTTCACTGTCATTATTATCATTATTATCACCTTCGTCACTATCCCATTTTCATCATCTGCGCCATCATCACGATTACCATCTTCGAATTCAATAATTACATTATTTGGAATTTCCTCTTCGTCCGCGATACCCGTTCACGAAGTAATGACCAATTACTTCTCGGTCGTTGTGCGAACACGAGATGGTATGGCGTATCGTTAGTTGCAGAATGAATCTGTGTATTCATTGCCCTGTAAAACAATTAATGTCAATATTCTGTTTGATTTGAATTTTTAAATCGTTTAAGATACCATACTACTTACATACTACGAGCGGTAGGCCTATACTCCAATCTTCTCTGTTGCCTTCTTCCAACCATGCGGATAATTTAGCTTCCAGTATTGCATTGCCTCTTTCTATTAAACCTTGGGATTGTGGATGTCGCGGTCGACCATTGATGATGCGTGTTTCTGGCCACAATGCGACAAGGTCATGAATTATTTGCGCAACAAATTCCTTGCCGTTGTCAGACTGCAGAATAGCGGGAGGTCCGAATTGCGTAAATATGTGAAAA